TATAAACTCAAATATATATATATATATATAATATTGTATATTATGTATATAATATTATTACAATATTATCATTATATTATATATAATATATTATTAATATATATAATATTATAATAATGAGTTGTAAAATAAGTCATTGGTGATTTGAAAAAACCATCTATCGACAAAATCCGCAATTACTTAGTATTATATTTTGTTGATAGATGGCTTCTGAAAAACAGGAATGATTTAATTGCCAACCCAAGAATTATAATATAATATAATACAATATAAATAATATTAATATATTATATTTATATTATTAACACTTTAATGACCACTTACACAATATTTGTGCAATGGTTGGACTAAATGTTTAGCATCCACTCATACATTTGGGTGATATTACCGTTGTTTAAATTAATTCTTCAAAAATATTGCAGCCTCTGGCAACATTTGACTTCGTTAATGTGCCACCATTAAAGTGTTAATATATTATTAATATATTATATTTAATATACAATATTACTTTTTATATATATATAAAGGGGGACAAAAAAATAATGTTTAGTATTCGCTCATTTAGTAGTTTTGCTAACATAAACAATTAATCATCATTAATAAATCATAAACAATAAAATATAAATATAAATAAAATTACAATTATATTATTAATAATAATAATAATAGTAATAAGAAGAAGAATAAGAAGAAGAAGAAACAGATAGTAAAAAGATGGCGAGAGTTTAAATAGTTGAAGAACTATTAACGAACGTTGTATTTGCAATAATATATTATATTTTATTTTGTGTTTTTTATTTTTCATGATGTTTTCATTCATATGTATAAGAAGTAACACTGTAGTTTTTCAAGCGAACCCTTTTAACATTATAATCATTATAATCGTCATCACAAAATACAATCATCATCATCATCATCATCACAATACAATCATCATTATCATCATCATTATAATCATCATCATAATACAATCATCATCATCATCATCATCATCATTTTAGTTTTACACACACCTTTTTGTTTCTTAAAATATAACACGCACACCTTTCCCCCTCCACTCGACACCATCGATCAAAAGGAGGGGGTAGAGTCCCAAGTTTTATAATTTTCAATTTTTGTTTGTTTGTTTTTTTTTTCATTGTTTGTTTATTTCCCTTCGCACTTTTCCCTTAATGCGCATTTTTTGTTTCTCGACACGATCAATATAATCACGATAATTCTTGATAATTCTTTTTATTTTTTTTGTTTTTATTTTATTTTTTATTTTTCATTTAAACCACAATAGTAAAAGCATTTTTATAAGCTATACAGCTACCATTTTTTATCTACAATATAGTTTTATTATATTTATATATATTTATATATATTTATATATAATCTTCATCTCTTTATTTTATTATTATTTTTATTTTTATTTGTTTATTTACGTACTTCCCTTTTTTTTTTTATTCTCAGATATCTGCTGCCTATTATTACAACCAACACACCCCTTTCTGACACCCCCCCCCCTTTCTATCCTTTCACCCTTTCTTTCTACGCCCCTTTTATTTTGTTTGTTTCTATCTTCTTTTTTTTTTTGTCGCTTTTTGTTTTTGTTTTTTGTTACTCGGCAGGCATATTATGTTATATTTAGTAGTTTTAACGTTAGAATGCATTTTTCAACACATCAATTACGTTTTGTTTTATTATTTTGTCGATAATAACGTCATAACTTGGAACAACGTTTTGTTGACGTGTATTCTAACCTCTTTTTGTTCTTCTTTTTTGTATTACTCCATTGGTGACCAATTTTAGACGCATCACAAGGAAATATTATCCTCCTATAGGCAAAATCCTTTTTTTTTTTTCAAATTCTTTTTTTTATAGATTATTTTTTCAATACTTTTAGAACAACATTCGTTGTTCTTTCTTAATCTTCACTAGTATCTCATTCCTTATTTCCTTTTTCCTTTTTTTTTTTTATCTTTTTAGAAGATTACGTTTGGATAAACTTGTCGTTATCTTTCATCATAATCATTGAGAAATTAGGTTACATTGTCAGGAAAGTGATTGATTAAGTTTTTTTTTATATTCAAGTTGATGTAATTGATGCTTAACATTGAACTTCATTGAAGGCTTGTCCGAAAACGCTCCTCTTTCTCGTCTTATTTTAATTTTTGTTTTGAAATGTTCTTTTGTTTTTTTTTTTATTCTTCTTTTTCAATTAATTGTTGTTAATATTTTCATTTTATTTTGTTTGTTTTTAAAATTCAAATTGATGTAATTTTATGCTCAACGCTACTCTTCATTGAACTTCATTAAAGGCTTGTCCAAAAACGCTCCTCTTTCTCGTCTTATTTTAATTTTTGTTTTGAAATATTCTTTTGTTTTTTTTATTCTTCTTTTTCAATTGATTGTTGTTAATATTTTAATTTTATTTTGTTTGTTTTTAAAATTCAAATTGATATAATTTTATGCTCAACGTTAAACTTCATTGAACTTCATTGAACTTCATTGAAGGCTTGTCCGAAAACGCTCCACTTTTTTGTCTTATTCTTTTATTTCTTTTCAAATATTCTTTTCTTTTTCTTATTCATCTTTTCCAATTGATTTGTTTGTTCTTTAAATTATTATTAATATTATTATTATTATTATTTGTTTAAAACGAGACGATAAGAGAAAGAATTCAAGCTGCCAGTAATTAATAATACGTGCGTCCTTGTGTTAATGTGGTGTGTGTTTGTTTATGTGTTGATTTTTTGTTTTTTATTTTTCATTTTTCTTTTTCTTTCTCTCTCCCCCCCTACCCTACCCTCGAACCCTCCGTTTCATTTTCTTTCTCTCTCTTTCTCGTGTGCTATTTGATCTCTCGCAAACATTCCTTTAAAACGCGTTTATCTCGTTACTGCAACACACAGCATTTGCATTTAGGCTTCTTCTTCAACGTAACATGCTCGACCTGCGATGCATCACCGGGACCTTGTGCAGTCATTCTTGCAACTTCTACGGTCCTCGAACCTGGGCCAACCTGAAATCGAACGAGATGTACTAGAATAGTTAATAATTAATATAATATTATAGATCGAGTCATAAATAACTTCCGGTTTTTATGAGACAAATAATAATGGCGTTTCTGCGACTGATAAGTGCAGGACACTTTTCATGAAGTTTTTTTTTTTTGCACTCTTTGCATCTGTTGGACGTATCTATTGGATTTTGTTTCAATATTACCTTTAAAAGGTTCATCAATGTCGGAAATACGTCCCTGCACTCGGTTCAGCTTTTAAGCTCGTATCTCTAGTACGGAATTTTACAAACCAATTTCTGATTGTCCTATCAGTTATCAGTCCTGCACCGTATAAGCTGCAAATTTTTTTAGTTGCCACTTTAGTGCAATTGCCTTGTTTAAATTCCTGAAGCATTGCATGTCGAATATGCACTTTTTACTATCCATTTGAGAGGTTAAGAAAAACTGTTAAATGTAACATTGACTACATCAAAAAATTGACAGAAGACTAACTGAATTTTCATCTATACAGTGATATCAAAAATCCGTTTGTTTCAGTGACTTATAGTAGATAAATACGAAAAATAGATTCTGCATAACCTCAACGGAAGTTTCTTATGACTTAACCTATATATTATAATATAATAAAATGAATAAAATAACAATTTATAATAATAATAATAATAATAATAATAGTAATGATGATGTATTTGTAAAGATATTTACCTTCTCCTTGTTACCAAGTTGACTGTTAACAGCCGTAGAAGATTTGATAGGTGTGCCATGAGCATTCCCATTGCCTTGATTCAATCTTGGGGATGCATTTGAATGACGATTCGTCGAATTTGCATTTGATTTGAGAAGAGGACTGGAACTTGAATCGTGATCCCCACCAGCACCTACACCACCACCACCAATTGGCGTTGTCTTGCCCGTTTCTTCGCATCCTGGTAATGGTGGTGCAGTTTGTCCTGGTGTTGGGGTGATAGGTTTACCACCCTTTATCAATTCTACTATCTCGTCAGCTTCTCTTGATAAATCACCATCCGGCCTGAATGGATTATCCCAACCACTATCCGTACTGAAACATATTCAATTTTATTTATTTATATTATATTATTTATATATATATGTTAAAAAATAATTCTGAATGATTTTATACAAAATATTACATGTATATATATATATCTATATATTTATTTATATATTATAAAATAAGTATGAATTATTTTATAAAAAATATTAAATATATAAATGCTATATTTATTTATATATATTATTTTATATATTGGTATATATATATATATTTATTTATGTTATATATATAATATTTATAATATAATTTAATATATAATTATAAAAATATATATAATAAGTATTAAAATAATTTTTTATATTATTATATTATAAATTACTAATTATACATATATAATTTAATATATACATACATATAATATAATAATTATAATTTATTTTATAAAAAATATTAAATATATAAATGCATACTTATTAATATATATATATATTTATTTATATATTTGTAAATATTTATTTATATTATAATTATTATATTTATTATATTAATATAACATTCTCACACAAACTTTAAATAAATTAAAAAAAAGAAAAAACAAGAAATAATTAACACACATAGTAAAGTATATTAAATAATGAATTTATGTCAAATCAATTTTTTGTTCCCATTTTCTCATTTTCTTCTTCTTCTTCTTCGTACTTGAAGTATTTCATATTTAATGAAGTAACAGTTTTCACGTACTAATATATACATATACATATATATATGTAAGTATTACTCGCATGTTTTAAATGAGACTTTTACAGAATACGAAATTAACTAAGAGGAGTATGTAATATGCAAGAATGTTGACTGAATTTGTTAAACGTGTAACAACAGGAGGAAAAACTAATGCTAATTTCTATCTTACGCAATGATTTAACTACCTACATATATACACATGTACATGTACAATGTAAACTATGCATGTCTGTATAAGTCTGTATAAGTTATATATCTGTATAAGTTTCTATTCACGGTAAATCGAACGATTGCGTATTCAAAACATAGAATAACGTTGATAACGATCAATTAAAACGTGATTACGAGAGAAAGGGAAAGGATAAGGACGAACAGAATGAAAATGCAAGTAAAGGGTGGGGGAGGGATTATAATTTTATTTTTTTACAAAACGAATAAATAATATCTCTTTATGTATATGTGTTTGAATGTGATTTATATAAGATTATGTTGAAAAAAAAAACACAAAAAAAAAACGTTTTAAAATCAGTTAACATTATCATAACCTGTAAAGATAGAAAGTGGAGGGGGAAAGAGCGGGATTACAATTTTCATTTTTAAGAAAGGAATAAATAATCTTTCTTTGTATATGTGTGTATATTTGACTTGTATAAGATTTTGTTAAACATTTTTTAGTTGCAAATACATTTTAAAACCAGTTAATATTATTATGGTTTGTGGATACAAGAAAGAGAGGGGGAAATGGTGAGATTATAATTTTAATTTCTTACGGAACGAATAAATAATTTCTGTATATATATGTGTGTGTGTCATTTGTATAAGATTTTGTTGAAAAAAAGACAAAGAAACGTTTTAAAATCAGTTAACATTATCATAACCTGTAAAGATAAAAAGTGGAGGGGGAAATGGCGGGATCATAATTTTAATTCTTACAAAACAAGTAAACAATCTTTCTGAATGTTTGATTTGATTCGTATATTGTTGAACCTTTTTTTTATTAAAAAGAAAAGAAACCAAAAATCGTTTTAAAACTAATTAATATTAACATAACCTATAAAGATAGAAGGTGGAGGGGGAAATGGCTGAATTATAATTTTAATTCTTACTAAACAAGTAAACAATCTTTCTCAATGTGATTTGATTCGTATATTGTTGAACCTTTTTTTATTAAAAAGAAAAGAAACCAAAAATCGTTTTAAAACTAATTAATATTATCATAACCTATAAAAATAGAAGGTGGAGGGGGAAATGGCGGGATTATAATTTTAATTCTTACAAAACAAATACACTAATCTTTCTCAATGTGATTTGATTCGTATATTGATGAACATTTTTTTACTTAAAAAAAAAAATAAATAAATAAATAAATAAAAACGTTGTAAAACCAGTTGATATTATCGTAACTTGTTTAGAAAAGAAAAATTAAAAAAAAAAAAAAAAAAGAAGAGAAAATAATATAACATAAATTAGACGCAATAGTTGCATAGAAACGACCGTGGCATTAAAAGCCTTTGGCATTGAATTGCACTTAATCGAGCTCTAACTCTAGTGGCTGCGTTATTCGCGTCAACGGAATGCACCTATACACCTGCACGCATGCATGCATGCATGCATGCATTCACGTGAGCATGCAAGCATACGCATATATACATATATATACACGTATATACGTATTATTGCACATGAATACATATATTGTAAGAGGTGAATGTAAAATAGGTGATGATGATGCACCCATTACGAGAATATCAACGAATGATGAATAAACGTGCACCCATTTTTTTGTTCTTTTTCGTTAATACAGTAATTGTAGTATACAGTATGTAGTATAAATTTTATATATATATATATATANTATATATATATATATATATATATGAATAATTTAATTTAAAATGATAAGAATAATATGAAATATAGAATGTCAAGAAAATTTTGTTAGAATTAACAAAATAACCTAAAATATAAAACGATTATTTATTTACAATATTTAATATAAATCGTCTGATAAATAGATAATACATAATAAATAAGAGAGGGCGTGTCGATCGCTAGAAGGGAAAACAGCGTGCGTGGGTGTAGGGTGGGAATACATAATAAATAATATAAACATTTTAAAAATCATATTTTATGAATTTAGTTGAACTTAAAAACATGTGTCAACCCTCTTTCACCCTCTAAATTTAATAAAAAATAAATTATGTGATCCTGCAACCCCCGCATATGAATTTGACATGGCTGTTATACATAGTACTGTATATATAGTTTTAATATCGTGTTCGTAATTGTTGAAAGGGCTTGTAAATGCTAGTTATTTCGAACAACATAAAAAATAAAATAAAATAAAAAAAAAACAAGAATTTAGGGAGAAAGAATGAAATGAAGAAAGTAGAATGTCATCATACAGTAAAAGGATATTTTATTACAAGGGCGAGGGTTGTAAATCGTTTCCGGCGCTGATTGCAAAGCTGATTGTATTTCGAAGGGTTCGAAACTTGTTATATGAGAGAAAAGGTGTCCCGTTTCCGTGAAAGGTTCGTTGAACGGTGTTAAACGTTCCGTGAAATTGTTTCGATTTGCCTTTTTCTTTTTTTTTCACTTTTTTTTTTGTTTCTTGCTTTTTCCTTTCTTTACAATTTTTATTTTTGTTTCTTTTTGTTTTTGTTTTTTTTAGAGACTTTTGTTAGGTGAAAATTTGGTTTACATTTCAGTCATTGATTTTTCGTTTAATTTTGGTGACAGATGTTGGAATATATTATATAATACAATATTTTATTTATTGGTAAATGTATTTTTGTTGTTTTTTTTTTCTTTTTTTAAATAATTTTTTTGATTATAATATGTTTGTTTTTACATGTTTTTTTTCTTCTTTTATCATAATGCTTTTTTATTTTATTGTATTATTGTTATTAGCATTATTTTATTATTATTTGTTAACTGTTGAATACAATTATATTATATTTTATCGATATAACTACTTAAATAATTATTATAATTTATTTATTACGTAAATTTAGGTATAATATTTTTTTTTATTATAGTTTATAATAAAATATTTAGAACGTTATGTAAATTATATATTATCGAGAATATTATTATTATATTATTATTATTTAATATATATATATATATATATATATAATATTTATTTTAATTTATATTACAATATTTAGAATGTGTAACAAAAAATATATTATTATAAATATTATAGTATATAATAATTATTTTAATAATAAATTAAAACAATTATATTATTTATTACTATTTTATTTTAAACATTATATTTATTATAAATATTATAATTAATATAATATATAAATAATTTTTTTGATAATTATATATTACCAAATATTATTCTTATATTTTATTATATTATTATTTATATATTTATATAATATTTATTATAATTTAAAATACAATATATTTAAGAATGTGTAACAAATAATATATTATTATAAATATTATAGTATATAATAATTATTTTAATAATTATATATTATCGAATATTATTTTATTATATTATTATTTTTTAATATATAATATTTATTATAATTTATAATAAAATATTTAGAGAACGTTATGAATAATATATTATAATATTTATAATAATTTAATTCCTAATTAATTAACTCGTTGTGTGGATCACTTTTGAATATTCAAGAAAAGAAAAAGAAATGGATGAAAGTCGCATTAGAGAAAAAGAAAAAATGAACTTTTCATTAGATCAGGGTTTTTACTGGAATGAAAACGAGGCTAATCGGAAATAGACAGGAGATGAAAGACGATGGAAACTTCCGATACGATGGATAGAACCATCTCTTCTTTTTTTTCTTTCTTTCCTTTTATTTCTTATTCCTCTTTCTTTTTTTTTTATCTTGCTTTTATTTTTGTACCTAACCTCCACATCCTTTCTGATTTGTATTTCTTTGATCGATATTTGATCGAATTCTTTTGTTTTTGTTTTTTTTTAATCAGAATTTTATAGCACAAAATATATTAAATATTTTTTTAATAATAACAACAACAACAACAACAATAATATATATTTATAAATAATATATGTCTGCATTTTAAATAATGAATCAGTATTTATAAATAGGTTAGGATTGTTTTAGAGATTCATGTTTGATATGTATAATACATTTTGATATTTATGAATTATGGTTTAAATTTTATTTATGAATATTTAGTATTTGATAATATTTTATTATAAACATAAATAAAAATTATATATATGTCTATGTTTGAAATAATGAATTAGTATTTATAAAAAGATTAGGGTTATTTTAGGTATTCATGTTTGA